CCCCAGGGCTCCTAACATTTGTTCGGTTTGCTGCTGACACGTCACAGTATCCAGCCCACATTTGATTTCTAAGAAAAGGTCATGCCTAAGCGCACCTGCACGCCCGTACCTGCAGGATTTATGAGGGAAAACACGCGGCCAAGTCAGCCATATTTTCTCATTCAAGACTGTGAGCATTTAAAAAAAATAAAAAATAAAAATCCTCATATAAACAACTTCCTCCACACAACATTTCACTTTGTTGTCGCAAGCAGTCTTTTCTCCCCGCTTTTACACTTTTTGTGACAGCAGAAAGATCAAGACCATAAATAAATAAATAAAAATAAGGAGAAACTGGCGATGATCCCAGCTGTTCACACAAGAGCAGCAAGGGAAGGAGACAGGGCGCAACAAGTTTCACCTCGTCTAACATCTCACAACTGACTGTGGCAACACTTGGGTACTGTTGCGTCCTCCAGTCAATCTTTAGAGGTCTAAAACATAAAAAGAGGCGATACTTGATTCAGTTTACATCCCTTCTCGACCTCATATACTTGTTTTTAAGCCACATCTGAGGTGCTTTTGACACAAGGGGAAAAGTCACAGTAAACATCTGTGAATTGAAGTATGAGTCTGCAATATCCGGTTGGTATGCATGACTGGTGCCATCTGAAAAGATAGTGGAGCAACGTTTTACATGTCTAACTAAACTTGGAGGTTTCTAATGTGCAGCAGGAGTGAGACCTTTGAGATAAATTTAAAATGCACTAATCAACAAATCCATCCGTCTGCACACGTTTCACTTCCACTTTCGGTAGACTTTGAGCGGAAAGGAAATTGTACATTTATCAGTGCCTTTTCTATATGCGGCGGCATTGAAAAATGGATGCAAATATTTTACTTTTCAGCTAAATGGGTTGCAGGGCTTTTTCTGTCTCAAAATGTGCCTGTAGGAAAACGTTACTATACAGAAGTCTGTGCAGGTTACTCCTTCCTTTGTCATTTAAAAAAATAATAATAATAATAAATCACATTGAAGGCCTAAATTTTTAATACACACTGGAAAAAGCCTTATTGAGAGAGCCCTAACACTCCCATCTCCACTCCCTTTTAGAGCCACACATGGAGGGGAAAGTGATACTAAGCAATTGTGAAATAAAGTATGAGTCTGCAATATCCGGGTGACGCACTGAAGTGACTTGAGCCATCTTTAAAGACGGTGGAGTAACTTTGTGCATGTCTGACTACACTCAGGGGTTCCTAAATTGCAGCAGGAGCGAGCCTGAGACCTTTGAGACGAATCTGAAGTAGGACATTGCACTTTCCAAACACTGTCAACAAATCGTCTGGATGTTTCATTTCCACTTCTGGGCAGACAGGAAATTATATACTGTGGTTATACTGAAACACTGATGCAAAGATTAAGCATGCAGTCTACAGAAATCCCAGTGCTGGACTGCAAAAAAGGGTCCTCACTTTTAGGTACTTGATATTACTTGGCAACTGTAGTAACTATTCATGTAAGAAACCTCTATAAAGAGCATATAAAGCATGCGGTGACTTCAATTAACCAACAGCAGGTCTAATTTCGGACTTTTGCAGGTATGCGTATACTCTGCGGCTGCTACTGCTGACACTTTATATGAACTCCCAGCGCTTTGAAATCAAGCCACAGCTTTTAAAATAAAAATATGACCGAAGACAAACCCAGCCCTGAACCTGCTGCCCCATCTGTCACTGTGTGTGCATTTCCTTTAATGAAGCTTCATTTGCTGCCTGCAAGCGCGCAGTCCTAATCCACAGCCATACGGTCCGTTTAAAACTGTGCACACACGCCAAACACAGCTGATAGCCTGGTCATCGGTGAAGTGCTGTGGGTCAGGCATGTATCGCTCAGCGTCTGTGGATAAATTAAGGGAAATCCTGCTAAGCATCGGAGCCTAATGCCTCCTGTCTGAGAACCAGTCCGTTGTTCTGAAAGGGGAAGTTAACGGTACACCGAGGATGTAACACCGTCATGCTCGCATTTACCCCTCCTTTTACTTTAACGCCAACTTAACCCTACCTAGGTTTGATTTTACCTGATTTGTTTTTTAATTCAACAGTTTTGCCTTCGAGGAGCAAAGTCTAACACTCAGAGCAAGCTTCAATGAATGGCATACGGCGGACAGCGAAGGTGACTAACAGAAAGGAAAGAAAGAGTGCGAATAAAGTAGTATTTTCTTTGTGTTTTACCTTGATGCTCGCGGAGAAACACGGCAACCGTCGGCTGGACACCACGCTACAAGCAGCGGTACGGGCTCAAAGAAAGGGAACAGCGATTTGCTGCCGCTGTTTCCGGGTTAGCTATCCAGCGTCAAACGATAGGGGAGTTCGGTTTGTCCCACCTCTGAGCGCGGATGGGGGTGAGTTGCACACCTTCCTCCCCCTCCAGAACTGAAAATAGATGCGCCCGGTCAGCGGACACGCGCGATACTGTGTCAACGGTCACCTCCACTTATCACTACTAAAATAGATTTAATGGAACCCACCGCCGCGTAAATTAGGTCTTATTAGACAGTACGTGCAGTGTTTGCACTTAGTTCTTCAATCGGACATCAAAGCTGAAGCCTTTCTACCGACGTGCCCTTGGGCAATAAACTAGCATAGCGCCTCTAGGTGACGCTGTTCTGTTATTTCGCCCCAGAATCTATCAGCGAGTTTTAATCCTCGATTTCCATGCATGTCATTGAAATTATTCGTGCTAATAATGACGCTGACTACTTTAATTCACAAAATATGGTGAATATTGTCTGTGGTCTTTTCCTTCAGGCTGGCAGTTTCGTCTTCAACATCCTTTTCCCGGTATATCCACCGTCCCTCCTCTGCACGTCTCTCTAACTTTGTCTCCAAGCTCAGCCTGAGCTGTCCCTCTGACAGGGGCGCCTCCAGATTTTGTTTTATAGGGGTGGCCATATGCTGGCCACTAAGAATATTGGGGTGCCAAATATAGGTTACTTAAAAAAAGTTTATATCACTGAAAATGGGTACATATGAAAACCAAATAAGATTTTCAAATCTATAATAATCTGTTTTAAGTAGGAATAAACAAGTTAATGTTTTAACTCATTGTAGGGTGTCTTCTTCTCTCTTATGGTCCCGTTTATTAGTATTATTACCAACACAGGACAGTCCTGAAGATGCTAAGTGAAAATCATCTTCAGTTCTTCCTTCTGCCACCCTCTCCAAACCATACAGCACAGGATGTAAGCATCCCACAAATGCTTGATTGGATTGAGATATGGGGAAAGTCAAAATCTCAAACCATTCCTGAACCATTTCTTTGCTTTGTGCGTTATCCTGGTGAAAGACCCGACTGGTCTGCAGTAGGTCATCTGTTGGATTGAACCACTTCACTCCCCACATGGATCAGAGAAGGCTCTCTGATCCATGTGGGGAGTGAAGTGGTTGCCCATAAACCTGTTGTTGGTTCACCACTATTCCTTCCTTGGACCGCTTTTGATCGATACTAACCACTGCAGACCAGTAACACCCCACAAGAGCTGCAGTACAGCTGCAGTAATTTGGTATATACTATTGGTATAGTTTTTTCCATAATCACAGTAATATATATTATTTTGATTTTTATTCTATGTCATCATTCACCTGCTGAATTCTCACTGGGTTGCGTTGACATTTAAATGGTCCGTTGACCCACTTTCAGGCATTTTTTTTTCTCATTGTGGAAGGAAAATGGCCTGAAAGTGGGTTGACACGCCTTTATGCAAAAATAGATATCTGAAAGGTATTTAGTATGTGAAGTTAAAATGAACAGAAATCGTTAAATTCTGTACCCTCAAACTTTGGACCATAAAATGTTTTTTATGGAAATTGAATCTGGTTGATTGATGATTGATGATGAACTCGGGTCTTGAAAATTAAAACAAAATGCACATATTAACAAAAATATTTTCTGATTTATAATTAGAGTACCATCTGTAAATTGACTTTCTGCTGATATTTTTGTTTCTGTGGTACAAATTGTCATATTTGCTCAACCCAGAATGAAAGTTGAATTTTTCTGACTAAGAAATTCTTATTAAAAAGGCTTCCATGTGCTTTATTTTGTAGTGTTGTGAAATTCATCTATATATCATTTAGAAATTGTCACTAATTATCTTTTGTAATTTGAAGGTTTTATTAGTGTGTGTTCAAATATGGGACTTTGCTGGAGTGCTGGAACTTCTTTTTCATATTTTAACTAACCAATACTCAGATAAATCTTAATGTATTTGTCCCAAATTACAGATGCTGATTCATTTGGATGATAATAAAGTCCAGTGAAAAGTTCATGTTTTTATTTCTAGTAGTTTTTAAGATATTCACGTTCAAACATTGGAGCAGATTTCACTGAGCAACAAAACATTAGTTTGATTTGAAATTAAGTGAGCCTCCTGCTAAAATGTTTAATGATTTATAGTTATTAAAACAGCTACAAACATGGCTTATGAATGGTTGGATCAGCATTATCCCTCATTGTGATTAAAGCTCAATACATTCAAAACATCAGCTGTGCTTTTCCCACTACACTTCAAACCAGCAGACTCTCAGTATGATGGATTTGATCTGTTTTGTCATTATATTTTTGACACAGACACTAAACGTGCCCGTTATCTGTTCAGTTCACTCTTCAGCAATCAGTAAGTGAGACAAGTGTTGAGAGCGCTCCAGCTCCAGAGAAAGACTCACCTGGCTGTAATTTGAGCTCATCAGAGGATCCATGATGAGGCCCTAAGAGAGAAGCGAGTGTAACGGTCTGTTTCTGCACACTGATCAAAAGATTGCGCTGAAACATTGGGACTTTAAACAAAAATACAGATTACAGTCACAAAGCAGATCAATATATTCTTTAAACTTCAAGCTTCAAAGCCACTTTGCCTTTAAGCAGCATTTATTTGTCATCAAAGTGTGACTGATCCCAATTAAGCTTGATTAAGCAGCACACCTGTCTTCAGTTATGCATCCTCTGGGGGCTATAAAGGCTCTCCAAAGAGGATGGCCAGATCCATTTGCTAGAAAACAACAGTTTCTGAAGCTCTGCAGCGCTCTTGATTACGTTTTGCAACGCCATCTCCAACCATGGGAAAAGAGAAGACTCATGTTAACGTGGTGATTATCGGCCACGTTGACAGTGGGAAATCCACCACCACCGGACACCTGGTCTACAAGTGTGGAGGAATTGATCAAAGGAGGCTGGAGAAATTTGAGAAGGCTGCGAATGAAGTGAGTAAAAACAAAAACAATTTCTGCAAAACTTCCAACTTTTCAAGTGTTAAACTCATTCTGCTTGACTTCCAGATGGGGAAGAGCTCCTTTAAATTTGCCTGGGTGCTGGACAAGCTGAAAGCTGAGCGGGAGCGAGGAATCACCATCGATATCACGCTGCTGAAGTTCAACACCCAGAAATACATCATGACTGTAATTGATGCTCCAGGCCACCGTGACTTCATCAAAAACATGATAACTGGGACGTCACAGGTAGGAAGTACACGCGTGCTTGAATATCTGTTGCTATGAATGCTGCCTTTTCCTAAAGCTCATATCATTTCAGGCTGACGTTGCCCTCCTGGTGGTCTCTGCAGCCAAAGGAGAGTATGAGGCCGGCGTGTCTCGGAGTGGTCAGACCAGAGAACATGCCTTGCTGGCTTATACTCTAGGTGTGAAGCAAATCATAGTCTGTGTGAACAAGATGGACCTGACCGAGCCACCTTACAGCCAGAGCCGCTTCGAGGAAGTGATGCGAGGGGTGAGCGGCTTCCTCCGGAAGATTGGCTACGACACCACGGCTGTGCCCTTCGTTCCAGTTTCAGGCTGGACTGGGGAGAACATGATCACCGCATCTCAAAGGGTAATGATGTTTTCAGGCTTTTTTTTTCCCCCTTTAAACCCCAGAAGTTGGCTTGCAATGCTGTAAAAGTGACGTCTGCACAGATGCCGTGGTTTCAAGGCTGGAAGGTGAGACGAAGGGAAGGGAATAAAAGTGGGAAGACGCTGCTTGAAGTCCTGGACTCTATTCAGCCACCTGTGCGCACAGTCAACAAGCCACTACGATTACCTCTGCAGGATGTCTACAAAATTGGAGGTGATGTCAATCGCTGCTTTTGATCCCATTTTCTCGATTTCTTGGTCTGAGCGCAATTACAGCTTCATTTATGAAAAATGCAGTAGAGGAAGTACAGTATTGTTTTTAGAGTAGAAAATGTCTGTAAACATGCTGAAATTGAAGTGTTTCTTACTCCTCCAGGAGTTGGGACGGTGCCAGTGGGTAAAATTGAAACTGGTGTCCTGAAGCCTGGCATGATGCTGACGTTCTCCCCTGCCAAGCTCACTGCAGAGGTCAAGTCTATTGAGATGCACCACCAGGGGCTGGAGACGGCTCTGCCCGGCCACAATGTTGGCTTTAACATCAAGAACGTGTCCGTGAAGAACCTGCGGCGTGGGGACGTGGCTGGGAACGCTCAGCAGGATCCTCCTTCAGATGTTAAAAGCTTTGACGCTCAGGTTGGTTCACTGCAGGAAGAAATTGCCTCACTTTTTTGGTTTGTTTCCACTAAACCTTGCTTTTGTCTTAGGTGATAATCCTGAACCATCCAGGGAAGATCAAAGCAGGCTACTCCCCAGTTCTGGACTGCCACACAGCCCACGTCACCTGCCGTTTCACTGAGCTGAAGGAGAAGCTCGACCGCCGCAATGGCAAGAAGCTGGAGGACCACCCGCAGATCCTCATGTCTGGAGATGCGGCCACAGTCAGACTGGTCCCCATCAAGCCCATGTGTGTGGAGAGCTTCTTCACATACCCTCCTTTAGGTAAGCACAGATCTCTTCATGCACACAACTCTGCGTGTATGAATCCTCCTGGTTGTGCCCTCGTTTGACTGGCTCTTCTTCACAGGTCGCTTCGCGGCGAGAGACCTGAAGCAGACGGTCGCTGTAGGAGTCATCAAGTCAGTGGAAAAAAACCACGGCTCAAAACTTCACAAAGCTCAAGTTTGTAAATAAGTTTTTGGTTTACCAGAGGTCTGGTAATGCTGCTTCATGGGAAGAGTTTTATTTGATGAAATGTATTTGTGTTGTGACACAAAAAGCTTATGTTGTCTTTAAAGTGTATAGTATTCCTGTGTTGATAAACCCAGAAGTAGAGTTTGGTTTGTTTTTTGGTTTAAAATTGAATGTCTCAAAATAAAATGGTGTGGAGAAGAACTGGTTTAAGTGTCTTTACTGTTGAACCGTCAACTGCATCTTAATGTACATCTGAAAGAACTTAAACTAAACTCTCCTCGGGGATAGTCTTAAATACTAAAGCTGAATAAGACTCCTCAGCATCTCATGGTGCACAACATCTCCAGTTTGCAATAAAGTCATGCTTTAAATTGTAAAGCACCAAATGCAGAGTTTATTGGTTCTAATGAGTATGGTCTGGATTTTCAAGTTCGTTTACAACAGCCGGCATCTGAAATCTAAACTTTTAATGTTTTGAGTGGCACATGGAGTCACTTTAGTGTCCTGTACTGGTAGTTTTTGCCTTGCTTTGGCAAAAGAATGCTAGTGTGAAACTTCAATGTGCTAAATGGGGGTGTAAAGTTTTCAGTTTCTCTCCCTACAACTTGAGCCTCTACTCTAGATTTAAGGCTACTTGTAATGTTTTTGGTTTGGTGTGCATTTTGAACAGAAAACCTCCTAAGTAGTTTAAGCCTGAATCGAATATACACCACTGTATTGCAACTGTGCTTTATACTGCATGTTGAAATACACTTTGAGAACTCAAATAAGTTCAATGCTATGCTAGTAAAACGCCAGCTTCTAAGCAACAGCATATTTATGTACATTTAACATTAGCAGTGAAAGTTTAATATAGAAACGATAGATGGCGTTTACACAAGTTGCCAATTTTTATTTGAGTAACCCCAAAACTAAAATTCCAGAGAAATCTCAAATTTCTCAGGCTTAACATCAACAGCAACTCTAGAAATGCTTGGCTTAAAGCCGTAAAGACCTCAAAACTACATGGCGACCAAATAAAAGACTAGGCTTAAGGTTTAAATACAGCACTTTTAATGATACAATGGGTTGATGGGTTTGTTCCTTAACATGGGAAGAACTGCAGGTTGGTGTGGACCAGGTGAAAATACATCGGCTCTCTAAAGTCCACCTCATCTAAAAAGACATCTCTGGCCCCTTGGAAATGTACTAAATCCAAGGGGCAACAGCTGGAGCTGAAACGAAGCCAGCAGGGAAACTGCAGTTCCTCTGGTGGCCACTTGAGGCTGGCTCCAGAAGGGAGTAGACTCCCATGTTAAAATAACTTGACAGCATTAAGAAGCATGTTTACAGCCTGGTAGAAAAAAAAAACATTTTTGGTCTCAGGAGTAGTTTCTTTCCCCCCCTTCATAACTTATTTTTAAAACTCATCCATCTAGGTATATAAGTAAGGGGTGTGACCACATAGATTGAAAGGCATCCCAATTGTTGTCTGCTAGGCCTCGTCCACTTTGTGCCGCTGGTGCCTTTCAGAGCAATTTTAATAGATCTCAACTAATATCACAGTTTGCTGTGTGGTAGAGACCATCCAAGAAGCTTCTCCTTCAATTTTGCCGAGTTAAATTCTAGTATTATTATCGTTAGTGTGTTACTCAGCACACCCATACTGTTTATGAACGCAGTGTGCCATATAAGGTAACTTCTGGCTTTGAGAAGCCAACATGGCACTGACTAAAACAGCGCCGAAGCTTGAAAAATACAGAGTCCAAAACCGGCGGCCATCTCCGTCCGTCTTTTATACTGCCTACGACTGAATCCAGTAACAGAATGATATCACATGACTCAAACTAAAAAGAAAAAAATTCAAGCTCATGAGGTTTTACAAGACACTGAACTGTGAACACAGGTTGTTGTGAGACTTCTAGCCTGTCAGAAAAATCAAGTTATTGCTAAGATGTCCTCTGGAGTTTCCCGTACTTGTCATTAATAGTGGCTTTTAACAACAGGATACATTTTGCGCAGTCCTGCTTTATATTAATAGTGGCTCTTCAAACCCTGAGGTGAGCGTCGTCGAACGCAGCACTCCACTCATTTCCAGTCATTGTTACACCATGCACAGAAAAAAGGTCAAAGGACTGTGGAGATGGCGTTGAGTTCACACACAGAGCATACATACAGTGAACAGTGTAACAAGGAGTAAATTAGTGACCTACAGTGAACCACAGGCGTTGATATTCCACCACACAGTAGCAGCAGGTTTCTATACTGTAAAACAACCATAATACGAGTACACACAAAGCAAGCAAGAACAAAGAGTACATTAAATGACTTTTTTTTTTCTCTTTCTTCCATCTCGGGAAGAGTCAGTGGGAGACTTCCTGCCTCTTCAGTCAATTGTGGTGGTAAACAGGGATGCAAGACAAACAATGACATGACCTATTTCACATTCCATTTCATATTTGTCCTTTTCCCAGAAATATGAGCAGATAGTTATTTGAGGGCCGGTAAAATCAATACAGATAAAATTCAATCTCTACCACCCTGATGCTTAATCTGACAGGCAGAGAGCAATGGTACATGTTTTGTACAATAAAACATGTATGTACACTCACACACAAATATATATATTTACATACATATATACACAGTAACAGCATAAACATAGACTTTAAGGTAAGTGCTAGGGTTTTGAGAGTGGCTTCGTCACAGCCGTGCTATAGGGTTAAGATAATACTGGTAGAGGAAGAATACACACATTCTTTGTACAGCATGGATGAGGCATCCATGGCTAGATGAGCCTTCGTGGGGTTTCTTCTTGGTGTGTTGTTGTTTTTTTTCTTCTTTAGGACACTTGTCTTGTGACAAGAGGCGTTATGAGAGCTATTTACAGGACCTCCCAATTTAGGGACAGAGGTGTAGTGCAAGTCTTTCTGGCTGTCAGTCACTCAGGATGTGCACAAAAGACATGGGGAATACTCCTTTTCTTTCCGGATCTCCTTCAATGTGCCCGATCTGGAGGCAAAGCAAAGGAATATTGTGTGATTTTGTTTTTTTCTATTAGTTTAAACTGCGAGATGTTCAAAAGGTACAAGATACGCTTAGGCCACACTCACCCACCACTCCTGGTCCTCTTCCCCTGTTACTATAATCACCTCTCCTTCAACAAATGTCAGTTCGTCATCATTGTCAGCCTGGCAGTCGTAGATCGTCTTCACCCGCCGGGCTTTGTTCTTCCCCTGGACAGAAACAAACAGCAAAACCAGTTCAGTCCGACCACTCTGGCTTTGTGCGATTCATAACAGCACCATTACGCATTTAGAGTTTGCCATCTAGGCTTCGACATCATCACTCCCCACAAATATGTTACACCGAAAAAATGGGGAGTGATGATGAAATAAAAAGTCTGTCTGCGAAGTTCGTATCTGGGATGCTATATTTAAATTTACTTTAACTTTAATGGTGTCGGGGACAGCGCTGACCCAAGGTGACCGCTCTCCACATATTGGGATGGCGTCTCTGGAATATGACGAGTAGTAGTGAGGCGTGTTAATTAACTAGCCTGCAGGGTTTACTCCATTTATTAATAATAACGGAGATGTATTTAAATCTAGTATAACACAATGTGTCCAGACACATTTAACACAATAAAACAGATATTTTTTAAGAGTAACCATGTTTTTGTTGTAAGACTGAAATGTCCCCCGAGCATCTGGTGAGATCTGAACAAACCTTTGAAGACAGGAACAGTTTACAAAGACATGTTGCATAGGTGTCAAGTGGTGCTTCTTTTATATCCGATAGTCATGTACTGGCATAGAGCAATCCAGCTGACTTAGTGGAAAACACACCACAGCTGTACATTTTATCTCATGTTCATGCAAACTCTAATAGTTATCTTTGCATATGTAAATGCAGGCGTTGTAAATTAAGTCCATGCCATATCTGGCACATTGTATCAAACGCCTACACGCCTAACCTCAAATATGCTGTTTATCAACAAGTTTCGCACCAAACAAGAGGAAGTGACAGAGCAAATGTATATTCTGGGGTTTTACCAACAGATAAAAAGATCTGTAGGAGTGTTTTCACTGAGTTTATTAAATAAAAGCAGCTTCACTCAGAGGCAGAGTCAATGAGAGTCTCCACTGGGAACGAATTCAACCCATTTATACTCTAAAACTACAAATTATCTCAGACCCAGAGGACAAAACATCCAGGATCTTAAGGTAGGTTTGTAACTTTTGTACTTTTCAATCTGAAAAAAAGACATAAGGTCCAGTCTGGATTATACGGTGATATACGCGATAGCTGAAATATTATATATGAGTAAATATACAAAGACGTAAAAATGTGTATGTTTACACTGTTATTTCTTTTTTAAAAAGTACTGTATTTGAGGAACCCTTAGAAATAATATGCGAGTCCATACCGTTGTGATCTTCCTTGGGAGGGGCACAGGTGTCTCTTGGATCCCTGCAGGGGTCCCGTTGGTGTCTTCAGCAGACTGTTGAGATGGGGTCCCTATATTTGCCTGCTGATTAGGTGACGGCGAGTCTTGAGGCTGTGGGTGCGGTTGAGGTTGTGGTTGAGGATGAGTTTGAGGCGGAGGTGGAGGCTGTATTTGAGGCCTTGGCGTTGGCTCTCCGTGGAGCGGCCTGGGAGCAGACTCGACTGACCCAGGTTTTGGGGGGATGTCTGCAAGATGAGGCTTGGGAGGGAGGTCTTTGAGCTGGGGTTTAGGTGGTAGGTCACCCAGCTGAGGTTTGGGAGGGAGGTCGGAGAGCTGCGGCTTCGGAGGAAGGTCTCCAGGTTTAGGGGGGAGTTCCGACACCTGCGGTTTTGGGGGAAGGTCTCCCGGCTGAGGCCTCTCCACCAGAGGAACCTTCTGCGGGGTTTCAGCTGGCGGCGGAGACTTCTGGAAGACCTCTGGAGGAAGGCTAGGCTTATCCACAGACGGATGGTGTATGGTGTCAATCTTACGCAATGCCACTGGAGAGGTAACCGCATAGTGGCTCATTAATACCTTTTTAATTCAACTCCTTGCACTAAAAACACAAAATATCCAAACGTCTGTACCTTTTTGAGGTAGTTTGGGAAGAACCCTTGGACCAAGTGTAGACTTTGTGTTGCTTGAAGTAGAGCTAGGTGAAAAAAAGTGAAATAACTATATTTGAAAAAAACAAAAACAAAACTATTTCACAAAGAAGAGGCTTCAACATCCA